ACGTGTGTCTATATCGTCCTAATGCACGGTGAGGAGGAGAGTTTGAGTGGCTAAAAACTCTCCAAGGACCACAGCTGGAAAATTGCAGAAAATAGTCGAGTCTCAGGGTCAGAAAACATAAAAAAAAAAAAAATCAAACAGCACCTACACCACATGTTGTTTGGGAGGGTTTATATTTCACAATTCTGAGGAAAAAAAGCAAAACAATTGCGAGATACAAACTCAGAAAGTCAGAATTAGTTTTTTTTTAATCTCGGAATTCTGACTTTATTTTTTGCAATTGTGAGTTTATATCCCGCTATTCTGACTTTATAACTCACAATTGTGAGTTTATATCCCGCTATTCTGACTTTATAACTCACAATTGTGAGTTTATATCACACAATTCTGAGGAAAAAAAATAAACTCTTGAAACTTGCTAAATAATTTAATAAATCGGACCAGCATGTACACTCCATGTTTACTCATAAACTCCCTATGAAATCTGTTTTGTTTTTTTATTTATTTACTTATTTTTCCATTTTTAAAATGTGTTTTTTCAGAATGTTTTCCCCCTCTATTTAAAAAAAAAAAAAATTATGATTTAATACAAATGTATTACCAAAAAACAGTGGATATCAAATTAATGCATAAAACGTAATATTTTCAAATGTAATCAAATGAAAACAATTCCTTTTAAATGTACAATACCTTTTAAACTAACAATACCTACAGAAGTTTACTGTTCAAAACATGGACAAAAAAGTATTGTGTGAAAGCAGTCTTTTTCAGGTTAATATTCACAGACACTAGTCTATACTGCGATTTGATTCATTGTACAGCCCTACTTTTGATTTACTCATCCACAATTTGGCAAATTCTGTGACAGACAAGTACTGTAGTTGAATTTAAAGACATTATTGTGACATTATTATTTCACCTTCTCTAAGGTGGTTAAAAAAAGTAATATACTGCAAGGCTATTTGTAACAGGAAGTATTTATTAATTGTGCTACATGTCTTGGAGGGCAATGAGGTGATCCATTTTTACCAGAACATACAGTATGACTCATATAATGTGAGTCAGCAAATCCATACCTGCTGACTACAAATTTATCTTGTGACCAAATGCACGCTGCCAGTTTGGCCCCTGTTTTCTATCTTTCACCTGAGCTGTGACTGAACCAGCATCAACATAACACTTTCCAGGCATTATTTTTCATTCATGATTCTATAGAAATCATACCTAAATTCTAAATATGGTGCTCAATAAATATTTCTTATTATTATCAATGCTGGAAATGGTTTCTTTTGTAACATTATAAATGCCTCACTTTCAATGATAAATTTAATGCATCCTTGCTGAATAAAAGTATTAATTTCTTAAAAAAAAATACTGACCCCAAACTTTTGAACAATGGTGTACATTTTATTATTTATTACTTAATGACTTAAATAATAATTACTTATTATTGAATACTTAAATTTTATTTTATTGAAACATTTGACTTTTATATTAAACATATTTAAATGTACACAAACTAATGAGCCGTTAAACGAATATACTGAACATTACATACTGTTTGTTAATGATCAGCTGTCACCAATTCATCTTTGCTCACTGATTTATTAATGTAATATCCTTTCTTCAAGTGTGAATTATCAGATTTATGCCACGAACTGTATATTATCGCACGCAGCAGTGCGGTGGGTTGTTCATATGCGTGCTGATTGATTTTAAAAAAAGCATCTTATTCTGTATATGCCATCTTACGCAGGTGGCGAAGTCCTCTATTCAGCACAATTCGTAAGGAGAGTGCTGTTGCACAGCAGAGATCTTTGTAATATTTTCCATTTTCCTCTCACGGAAGGCGCGCACTCTCATTGACTCTTCAACCTAAACACCGTCCTTCAACATGGTGATGCACTCAATTTATTCACTGAAAAAAAAGCAGCATTCTGCTGAATTTGTATTTCTGCGGGAAGCTGATGAGGAGGGGGAACATTCACTATATCAGGCTAACATCTCAACAATGGGAATGCCACAATGATGAATGAGACAGTGGTTTTAAGGCCGGCTGCCTCAGAGGCAGATACATCAGCAGCTGGAGCTGCCTCAAAACATTTTTTCACTGATTAGGGACGCAAATATTGTGTCATTATAGCCAATAATCTTTTTGTGCTCTCACACTGATGCATTCATATGTCCAAATATCCTTGTGAAATTGCATAACAGTAAAAGCACAGGTTATTCACATATGACAAAGGACGGTTTTGACAGCTTGACAAAAACCAAGGCACCAAAACCATGTGGTGTCTAGTTATCTCTCACCAGGCAGATTAACTCGTCTCTCTCCCAGCAGATGGACATATCATTTCCCTAATGCGATGTGTCTCTGGACCACATGGACCTCTCTCAGTTAACACACTCTTCCAATCCAACACTCAAAAGCATTAGCTAAAAGATTATCCATGAGAAATGAAAAAATAAATAAGTCAATGGCGCACAAATAGCAAGTAGATGCAATATGTATTTTTGTAACATGGATATGCAATTTAAATGTGCATCAGTGAGGGGAGCAGCAAAAAATTATTTAAAAGTTAAAGAATAAGTTTATTTTTTACTGAATTAAAAAAAAAACTGTATATATTGTAGAATGACTAAGCTGCTCTTTTCCATACAATGAAAGTGAATTGAGAGTGATTTTCAAAGCAAGATTATTAGTGAATCTCAATTTTAATTTGTTCTGTTCCTCACACAAAGCTATTGTATATCTTCTGAAGACTTAGAAAATAGTGCACGAGTCAAACTAAATATAGTTAGATAAATCTCTCTTCACTACTTTCACTGTGACGAAAAGAGCAGCTTGAATATTCCGCTGAAATTCTCTTATTCCATGGAAGAAAGTAAGTAAAGAATAGTTAAAAAATAAACTATTCTGTTCTTCTGGTCTGTTCTCTTCACACAAAGTTATTGCAGAGCTTCTGAAGACTCAAAAAATAGTGCATATGTCAAACAAACTACTTTTATAATAATTTAATGGTGGTTGTTGGGGGCTTTCACACCGGACAAACCTTTGCATTGTTCCTAGTACTATTGGCGCAAGTACCCGCTTTTTGGTGTATTCGCACAGCAGGAACTAGGAATGGTTTTAGTTCTAGGAACTCCGTTTGGAGGAACTAAATTAGCTCCTACTTCAGAGTAGGGTCTAAAACAGTTCTATAGGAACTACCAGTGACCTACCAGGGACCTTAACACGCCCGCAGTAGACCCTGCCAAAAGTCTACTGCATCACACCATGTAAAAATATTTACTCCATGAACATGGAAAACAGTGATAACGGCCTGTTGTCTGCAGCGTTGTGTTCTTTTCTCAGCCTTGATGATATATAACAATGCAAGTTGTCATAGGAGATTTAGTCAAATTTTCATACTCTTTCAAATCGCATATACAATGTATTGTGCGTTTATATTACATCTCCATTATCACAAAACCCACAACACACAACAAAAACAGCTCACAGATTCCTCCATTCACAGGTTATTGACGCTTGTAAATGCAGTGAATGAAGATGTTGCTGTCGGCCGCTTCAGAGTTCCCGCTGCCGGTGCGAATGCAACCAGGAAAACGGCCCAAGGGGGAAATTGGTTCTCTAGGAACCACCATGCTGGCTATTTCCTAGAACTACATGGTGTGAAAGCCCCTATTGTTCTGAAAGCTCCTGGTTCCCATTCACTTTCACCGTAAGGAAAAGAGCAGCTTAAACACTCTGCTAAACGTCTTCTTATTATCTTCCATGGACGAAAGAAAGTCAAACTGGTTTGTAACAATATGAGAGTAAATAAATGACATGTTCTGTAATCATCTTGTATTTATGAATGTTGCTGGCTATTTCCTAGAACTACGTGGTGTGAAAGCCCCTATTGTTCTGAAAGCTCCTGGTTCCCATTCACTTTCACTGTAAGGAAAAGAGCAGCTTAAACACTCTGCTAAACGTCTTCTTATTATCTTCCATGGACGAAAGAAAGTCAAACTGGTTTGTAACAATATGAGAGTAAATAAATTACATGTTCTGTAATCATCTTGTATTTATGAATGTATTTGTTGGAGAAACATCAAAAATGTTTTAATAAGCATAAATACAGTAAGGTTCTGCTGACACAATTGTTTCAATTAGATGAATACAAACTCATCAGCTACTTTATGCAAATCCGCTCCCTATGCGGAACTCAGCTTTACTGGTATTTCAAGATCACTATGGAAACCTTCCATGCTTAATTTATGCTCACTTTAATTCACATGGTGAATTAAATCCACCAGTTAAACTAATGCAGTACTGCATTCAAACCGTCATACAAAACACCTTTCACTCAAGGACTCCAGAAAGGCCAGCACAAATGTGTTGCCATATTAATGCTTTACTCAATCCTCGCATTGATTTATTTTACCCAAGCAAAAGGGCCAGTGTTGCTCACCAATTTATAAATGTACCCAGTGGAGCTTCAGATGAAATCGTCACCCTCATAAGTACGACAGACATATAAAGATGGTGTTTTCACTGAGCCGTGGAGTGGGAAGGAGCTCTGTCTTACCTTGGTAATTGCAGATGTCTCCCACGCTGTTCTGACGCGTGATGTGGTGCCAGTAAGCGCTTCGCGGGAGAGATATCGACTTTGTTAATGTGCTCTCGTTTGAAAGAGTCTGTGAGGCAGAGCAGAAAATCATTGGGTTACATTGGTTATATTTCCAGTCAAATCACTCGGAAAGGGCTTACGCTGACAAGATTTCAAAGACCGAGACTCTCCGGTAAACAGCACCCCTCCATTAGGCTGTTTTGATCATTATAGATGACAGGTGGAGTGTGATGTCATTACAGCCTTTTAAAAAGAGCATTTATCACAGCATTTTAAGAGAATTTCGTAAATCCAAACCAATAAAGACTCTTAGCGAGACTCTTGATCAAGATTTCAGAGCGAGCAGCATTTTTGGCAGGGGTCCTGGATGGCGAGATCTGAGCGGAGGGCCATATGGTCAAGTCTCATCAGCCTCCACTGAAGGCCTTAGAGATGACAGCACAGATTCACTGCCAGCGAGGCAGCGGCGCAGTTTAAATAGCGCAGGAAAGACCATCCGCATCATGCGACTGAACGATTCATCAGCCTCGCTAGCTTCAGGGGGTTCAGAGAAATAACCAAAATGTGCTTTCAATGACACGTTGATAGCCAAAATGGTAGGATAACATTTTAAGGCATTAGTGTTCAGAAGCTTTGAACACTGAAAAACTCCTGAGGCTGTTATTTCTGTCGTTATCTTGCAACTAAGATGTGTCTCAAATCCATTTACATTTACATTTTATTCAAAGCGACTTCAATTGCATTGAAGGTATGCATTTTATCAGTATGTGCATTCTTGGGATTCAAACTCTTGACCTTGATGTTGCTAATGTCATGCTCTACCAGTTGAGCTATAGGAACACATAAGTGCAGCATTTCTGAAGGTACTCGACCAATAGTGCAGTTCAGGATTAGTTGACAGCAGCTGCTTTTCAAAGATGCCAGTGTTCTGTGACCTGGATTTATGAAACATCACATACTGTGCACTGTGCAAGCAAGGAAGCGGGAAAACATATTTAGAAAACTGGCAGAATCTTAACAGGGAAGCTGCAGTCCTGATATTCAATTACTGTATATTGTACGGTGATAAAAGGTTGATTTTTAGGCTATCTGATCTAAGGTAATAATTAGTGCTGTAAAAATTAGTGCGTTAATGCATGCAGTTAATTTTTCCAGTTTAACGGCGTTAAAAATATTTAAAGGGGTCATATGATGCGATTTCAAGTTTTCCTTTCTCTTTGGAGTGTTACAAGCTGTTTTTATGTTTGCGCGGCGTGATGCAACGCAACGCGTAAAAAGACAGTATATGTCATTATAATAAGTAATTATGTATACAATGGATGCAACCAATGCCTCGTTTATAATGGGTTTTAATGTTTTTGTCTCGTCGCTCCATCACCGTATGATAAAGGGGCGTAACATTTCCGTCACACGCTTGAGGTATTCGGCCAATCACAACGCACTGGATAGCTGGCCAATAAGAGCACACCTCGCTTTTTTGTTCGTAAAAACATATGTTAGTAAAAACAATTTTTCCTGTCCTGTCAGCTGTTATACTGTGCTTGTAGTGCATGCTCTTCAATTGCATGCACAAATGTGGCGGCGCACTGTATATAATTTCATAAAGCACGAAATAAACTACAAGCATGCAATGTCGTAGTTATGCCGTCAATTAAGTCATGAAGCTACCAAAAAGTCGATTAAAGCTGCCTTACAACTGTGCATATATGTATATATTTGTTATATATGAGTCACTTTTAAGAATGTGTGTCAAGATCTGCCTCTCGTTTAGCAGCGGCAGCTCTTAAAGTAATAGCAGCCACATAACCTAATAACCTAGCTGCTGTGATGTCTGTTAATCAAAGAACAAAAGAAAAATTAGGAAATCAATTAACTTTTGTAGCTTTAAAAATTCATCTATATTTAATTTAGAACTTAGTGTTTGATAACTTTATTCAATTTCTGTATATTTTCTACTTGCTGAAGGGCACAGGTAGCTAAATATGACATTTATTACATATAAAAATGCTGTAAACTCACTGTATTTAGCATATGTCAATCATTGAAATTATCACATATACAATATCATTCAAAAGTATGGGGTCGGTAAACTTTCAAAGTTTTTTTCAAAGTCTCTTATACTCACCAAGGCTGCATTTATTTGATCAAAAACAGTAATATTGTGAAATATAATTACAATTTAAAACTCTTTTCTATTTGGATCAATTTTAAAATGTAATTTATTCCTGTGATGCAAAGCTGAATTTTTAGTATCATTTCTCCAGTCTCCAGCATCACATGATCCTACAGAAATCAAGCTAATATGCTGATTTGGTGCTCAAGAAACATTTCTTATTATTATCAATGTTGAAAACAGTTGTGCTGATTAATATTTTTGGGGAAGCCTTAATAAATTAATATAATACTTTTTTTTTGGATGTATAAAAAGTTAAAAAGGACAGCATTTATTTAAAACAGAAATGTAATATAACATTACAAATGTCTTTACTTTTATTTTTTTATCAATTCAATGCATCCTTGCTTAATAGTCTTAATTTTTTTTCCAAATAAAAATAAAAATCTTACTGATCTCCAAATTTTGCATGGTAGTCTGTTTTGAGACCTAAACCTTGCTTATGATTTTTAGTTTTGTTTAAGGTGATTAAAATCAATAGTTAAAGGATAGAAGTGATTATTATTATTATTATTATAGCAGCAATTTAAGTATATTAAAATCACTAATGAAAAGTGAATTTTAAATTCACTAAAAAAGAATGTAATGTCATTAATTCTATAAAATTATATAGATAAATAAAATAACTTAATAAATGGAACCCCTCAAGTAGCTTTTTGTGTTTTTATGGGTGTTCCAGGAACCGCCCTCCATTCTGAACACTTCAATGGAGACTCATTTGTGAAATATGACTGCACTAACATTACGGAATAATACATACAATACCATGTTATAAAATACTAAATAAGAAATGCCTTTCTCTCCGGTGTACCCTGTAGAATTATGGGATGTCTACTTTTACTATACCTGTGAGCTCTTCTCCATCTCCATCATCATGCGTTCATGTTGTTCAGCGATGGACAGTGTGGCAGAGTGAACTCTCTGATAGATCATCTCGCCTTCTCTGGTCTGGAATGTGAACAAACCCTCCCCTGTATCACACATCCTGTAAGAGCACAACACACACACACACACACACACACACACACACACACACGTTAAGCAATTATAGCTTCTATTAGTTTTCAGTACACTCATGTTCTTGTCGTAATAGGCTGAACAGTAAGAGTAGGCTTTAAGGGCAGCCTGCAAGGGAAAGCATATGTTAAATGTTGAGCACCATCATGAATCAGCGAATCAATATCCAGAGCAGCAGAATCAGGACTATTTGATTTATGATGAAAACATCTTGTCAGACAAAAGCACTCCCAACTAGATTCGAATGTCGTTCACACACCTTCCAGACTCAAATGTGAACCAGGTCGAGTCTCTGCCGTATCTCCTCAGGGAGTTGAGCGGCCACATGACCAGCTTGACTCTGGCATTATTGATGTCCCAAAGGTAGATGTTCTCGTGGGTGATCTGCATTGTGCACTCTCCGTAGATGTCCAGATTTGGGGTCGGCATCAAGTAAACATGAAATCTTTCTGGAATAAAGAAAAGAAATGTAAAAGTCATAAGTACTATAGTTAACTAAAAAAAAAATAAAAATCCTCACTTAAATTACATTTTAAAATTGATCCAAATAGAAAAGAGTTTTAAATTGTAATTATATTTCACAATATTACTGTTTTTGATCAAATAAATGCAGCTAGAACTACAGTAGCATCATGTTCACACAGCGCACACAACGCCTCTGTACTCCCGATTTCTCCCAATATGGGGACAGGAGACTTGTCAGTCAATAAATGGGAAAACAAAGTAACTGGCGTTACTTTTTTGAAAAAGTAACTCAGATATTTTCTTGTAAATTAAAAAAGTAATGCGTTACTTTACTAGTTACTTGAAAAAAAGTAATCTGATTACGTAACTCGCGTTACTTGTAATGCGTTACCCCCAACACTGCTTGGTGAGTATAAGAGACTTTGAAAGTTTACCGACCCCATACTTTTAATTGATATTGTATATGTGATAATTTCAGTGATTGACATATGCTAAATACAGTAAGTTTACAGCATTTTATATGTAATAAATGTCATATAAACTAGATGTACTAAAATAACTAAAACTGAACTAAAAGCTAATAAGACTATATAGAAATGTATAAAAAAATAATAAAATGACAAAAACACACAACAAACAGACCAAAACTTTAACATTTAAAATTAAAATGGAAAATATAAAAATAAAAAACGGATTCAAAATATTAATAAAATTATAATTGTATCTCAATAATACTAAAGTAAGTATTGCAGATTGGGTAAAATAAAATAAAATAAAATAAAAATACTTGAAACCATTGTATAAATTAAAATTTCAAACTTAATTTGATCTCTTCAGATGCAGAAAGCTTTGAACAAAGAAAAACTCTTGAGGATGTGAGTGTATTTGTAATAAAATCAAATAAAATTTGATGGAAATTTATAAAATATAATAAAATGTAAAAATATTTCATTTCAGCTATTAATGAAAATAATAATTATATAATATTTAATTAATTAATTAAAATTTTAATTATATAATATAATATTATTTATGATGTATTAAATATGTATTGAAATTGTGTTCACAACACAATTTATTTTACATCTGTACATGTGACATCTTTATAAATATTTAAATGGAGGGAAAAAATAGATCGGTAGTAGATAGTATATAGTAGATAGTAGTTTTTTCCATTGGCAAATTGATTCGATCACTAAAAGTAGCTTTTATATATCAGATTGGAGCCATGAAGCTGAAGGGGTCAGGCTGTAAAAAATGTGCAGTATTTTTGCAAAAGTGACATTTTAAATAATAAAAACTCTAATAATTAATTATTTTAAGAAAGCAGGATGACAAAACTGAATGGTTACTATTATAGTAACCATTCAGTTTTGTCATCCTGCTTTCTAAATTAAGTAAATAACTCAAAAAGGTTCAGCAACAATAGCAGCTTACACTGACAGAAATGACCAATGTTTTATGTTAAATAAAATTCATAACAGGGTAACTAGTTTCTTTAACAGATATGAAAAGGTTGCAGACTGCTGTTTGATCGACATTTCTTTTAATAATAATTAAATTTGCTTAAAAAAGGGCAACCACCGTGGCGGTACAGTCCATTCAGCTGTCATATTTACAGACATCTCAAACAGCTTTTATTTGAGCAGCTGAAAGATTCTGCTCTGCCTAAAGATGACAGAGAATTAAAGGGTACGGCTGGGAATCTCGAGCACATCTCAACAGTGCCATCTAACATGATTATTATTTTTCCGACGGACTATTTTCTCTTCTTGCAGTGCACAAAGGTCAACAGATTGTTGCCATAGAGCCGCAGTTGAGCCAACCACGACTGGAGTAACCACACCATCACAATTATCTCCAAAAAGACAAGGGTGCACTTCATAATCCAAATTAATAGTGCCTAATTATACCTAATGCTTCAAAATAAGCTATGTGTCTCTCCGGAGGAAGAGGCAATGTAATGTGGGGGCTATTTTAGGGATTGTGAAAATTAACTCTGATTTAATTATCGCAGCCCGCCGTTAGAAGGGTCTAATTGAAGCGCAAATGGCAAACTCTCTGCTCGTTATTCCTCAGCTGTCGAACAGTGGAGAAACGATCATTTTGCTGACCTCCAGCTGATATAATCATATACACATTGCGCTCTCATTATGAAAACAAATCAATATTTGCCTGTCATTTGATTGAAAAAAATTTGATGATCACTCTATACGGTGTCTGCCGCAGCTTAATGCTTGAATGCTTTGGCAGCACTTGGAGATGAACTGGTATTGATTTTCTGAATTATGTTTAAAAAAACACTCACATAAACACAGACACAACTCAGGCCATCTCAGACTGAAACAGTCTGATCTGGGAGGAGATGCAGTTGCCTTAAAGCAACGGTTCTCAACGTGTGGGTCAGGACTGTTTTTACAGAAAACATTATATTCAATATAAAATCTCTCTGGAATAAAAAGTCATAAGCACTGCAGACTAGGGTTGTGACGGTGAGGAAATTTTCCCACCGGTTAATTCTAATTTGATATTATAAAAAGAAATACATTTGTTGTTTTAACTATTTGCAATAACAACATGCAAATAACGTGACAAGATAATATATAATATATATGTCTAATAAACTATAATATATTTAAATTCAATAATGCTTCAAGGTTGTTCTTATAGTCTTTTTTTAATATAAATAAATATTAAATATTTTATATTATATAGTTTTTATATTTAATATAAAATTGAATAATAAATATTTGTATATTAAATTATTAAAAATAATGAAAATAAAACTTTATAAATTTCCATACACTAAATATTACATATTTATATATAATGAAACAATCATATAATTTTTTATATATTAAAAAAAGAAAGAAAACTATCCATATAAGCATGAGTAGTTAAGAGTTTTTTTATGTATCTATTTTTTTAATCTTTTTTTTTTTTTGAGGATAAAACATTCCTCATATCTTTTTTGTTGTTGAGCAAATGCTCATTTTGCTGTATTTTAATGCAAATTCACCTGTCACTTGGTAGAAACTAGCCAAAGGCAGACACCAACACCAAATGCAAATTAATACTATTAATACTAATAATTTAATGTTTTTTTTTAATTTATTTTTTTCATTGTTGTTTATTGTACAGTGAACAATCCTGGTACTGTTTTGGGTTGTCACCTGATGTGAAGAGTCCTGAAGTGAAACCCTTTTAGACCCAGTGCTTTAATTTAGCCGTTTGGCCACACATTGCTTCATTCATTCCAGAAAGAAACGGATTGCATTCGCTAAAGATTCTCGCTCATTCTCTTAAGCGTTTTCTCGCAGAGGTTCCACAAGCATTCATCCTGCTTTTCTTCTGCGCCATAATCTCATCCATCTCTATGACAAGCTTCATTATGGGCTGATGCTCTGATGCACGGCGGTGCCCATTAGCGCTTAGTAAAGAACCTTGGCCTGAGCAGATCATTTATAAACATGAGAACAGACCTGGAGGGACTGTGTTTAACAAACACATTTGGACCCTGTAATAGAATCATTTAGGGAGTACAAGAGGAAAAATCACGCAAAAAGCCGGGCTCTAATTGGATACTGACCGTTCTGTTCCCTCTGCACCCCTGCTGCTAACAAGTCCGGTTCTCCCAGGCTGATGTCATTAAGTCTGCTGCCCAGACACTCCAAACACAATAACTTCCACCACTCCTCGGCCTCCAGCTCTGTGGACACACACATCCACAGCATCATTTTTATATGCAAACATACAGGAACAGCTGATGAAGAGACTGCAACAAGCAGGAGGAAAACACATTTACAGATTTAGCACTTTATTTAGCATTTAGTTGATGATGAACGTTATTTTTTCTAGTCGTCGACCACCTCAGCCTTTCTGAGAATATGTTGAATGCTTTCTGCTTTAAAACTAAGCAGCCAGTAGTCAGACACAAAGATGGACAGACAGACAGATAGAAGTGACAGACGGACAGGCAGATAGACAGTCAAGTTCATAGGTGTGGACACAGTGTCTAAAAATACTCGCCGAGTGCCAAATGTGAGTAAAACCTGGCTGTCAACTAAAGAAAACAGAATTACTGACCATTTTTAGGAAGTGCAATGATGGAGGAAAGAAAGCCATACAGGTTTGCAACAGCATGAGGGGAAACGGTGACAGTAGTTTCATTTTTATGTGAACTTTACTATTTATTACAATCACACTATATAGGGTAAGATGGGGGACGATGCCCCGCTTAAGAACAATGTGCATTTATTTTTAAATTGTAACCTATTTAGGTATAAGCTAAGCATGTGCAGGATGACGATACATCAGACTATATGTTATTATCATATGGAAAATAAATAGAAACGTTTGCTGAATCAGGTCATTAAATCAAAATGTAAAATTATTCAAATAAGCAACTGAGGTACCTGGGGCAAGAAGCCCCCCTGGCTAAACTTTTATCAAATGTATAAGCTGATATTAATTTGAATAATATTTATATCTTTTTTTTACAGTTTTATTAATGTAAAATGCTAAATCAATTATTATACTTACATTTTTCTTTTTGACAATTTAGTTGAGTAATTGATGAATCGAAGACAGACAAAGCAGAATCCCAGTAAAAAAAGATTCATCTGAAATGTAAATTTATTCTTTGACGTTTATACAAGCATATGAATATTTACATATTTAATTGTCCATGTTTTAATTGAAGATATACCATTGCAACACTATGAATTCAAATTAAATGATTTCACTCAAAGCAAAGATGTCAGTAAAGTAATTAAAGAAATTACTGAATAATAGCCCTATGAATTGCAATAAGTATTAAAATGAAACATAATAACACTAGTACCAACATGCCACTTGGGGCCTTCTGTGCCAGTTCTGGGGGTCATCTTTTATATTTTCATCTCAGAATAAATATCATTTTAATTATAATTACTCCACAAATATGAAAACATGAATGTGTCCACAAACCCCTCATTAACAAATAGATACAAAAAACTTTAATATTCAACATAATACAATGTCATAGATCACTATTTGTTTTGTTTGTTTGTTAGTTTTTGTTTTTTATTTTGTTTGTTTGTTAGTTTTTTTTATTTTGTTAGTTTGTTAGTTTTTGTTTTTTATTTTGTTTGTTGTTAGTGTTTTGTTCTGTTCTGTTTTGTTCCGTTTTATTTTGTTCTGTTTTGTTTTATTTTGCTTTGTTTCCAGAGACACAAAATTAGATCAATTAACCTCAAAACAGTTTTGACTGACAAATGTTGATGTTCAGATGAAATGACAAAATTTAGAACAGTGTGGACAATCATATATTCATTAAATGTGTAGGATTACATTCTGTGCCATCTATGTGCTACACACACACACACACATTATTTTAAATATTTAATATAAATAAATGATATAAATATTAATTATAATACATATAACTGAAATATATATATATATGTATAGTACAGTACATATGATCTGATGTGATATTTTACATAAAGTTAATGTTATATATTTACAGTTTCAGAAATATAAATAATGCAGAGTTTAATAGGCAGTAATTATTTAGTATTTAGGGTGGCACACTTTCTCAGTTTGCTCATCATTGGCAGGTGTAGCAATAGATAGTCTGGCCCCTGTATGCACACAAAAGAACAACACAAATAGCATTCTGTAGGAGTTGAGCTTTTTTTTTTTTTTTGGGGCACTCCATTTTTACTCTATTCTTCAAAAGCTCTGGGCTAATCTACAGCAGACTCTGAAGAGCATCATTCTAATGAGTGAACCTCACAAATCAACATCCACTCTGAAACACCTAATGCAGTTTAGCACAATGACACAAAGGAAAGGGAGCACAAATTATGACTATACGCCAACTACAAAATGAGCTCGGTCTACACCGCTTCTGCATGTGACATGGGTTTGAAAGCTCAACATTATGAGATTAGATTTGTCTAATTACGTGCCAAGTAGTTGTTAACCGATTCGTGGCCTCGTCAAGTTTGCATTTTCAGTGGAGCTTGTTTGAATAACAATGGCTGTCTGCTTGATGTTGCCCTAAGTATATTTCAGCTGTAGTGATTGAAGCTTAAAATGAACACTGTATGGCTGTTGACATTTTAATTTTGCCTCCTTGAGTAATGTGAGCAGGCACCATTCAAAATATTCAATGTGCCAAATTAATTTTTTTGAAATAGTACAATAGACACTTATCAAATAATTTCACTCATAATACTGTGTAAATCATGCACACAGATCCAAAAGCTGGGAAAAAACATAATGCCTTGAATTGTCTTTATCAAACTTATTAAACTCTCAAATCATTGTGCACATTTCCCCATTATTCTATACAAGCTTTTTGCTGGATTTTTTTCTTTTTTTGCATGGCCTCTCTCCTGAGACGGTGACCTTTAAGTGTGTCTAAATTCACACAGACTTTTGGGCCCACTGAGTGTAAAATTGGATAAACAAATACTTCATCAGCATGGCAAACTCTCAAGTGCTCAGGCAGCTATGTGCACAAACACAAAGATGCCCGGTGGAATCACAGCACTTTACAGCACAACATCTTCACATGGTTAATGGTTCACTCAGAGCACAGGAAATGAGAAGAACTACATGGTAAATAGTTAGGAGCAAGAAAATGGGTCAGGATGGATGAAATAGATTACGGCTGCAACAACATATCGGTAATGGAAATAATTGACAATGAATGTCATTATTGATTAGTAGGATCTGTGGGCCCTGCTTGGAGGACCACGTCAGTGCAGCCACTTTAAAGAACAGTGAAAAATGCATTTACATGGAAGGGGGAAAAATAATTTAATAACAGTTTACCGCTTTATTCTTCAAAGGCAAGCATTTTCATTTGGCAAAGCAGAGCATCCTAAAAGCAAGCAAGCTCAAGTATTTAATAGAGCTTTTATTTGGATCAAAGCAATATTCATTTAAACGACAAATTTAGGTTTTAAATGAACATTTACATTTATGCATTTGCCAGACGTTTTATCCAAAATGTTTTATATTACAAGGAATACTTTTTTTTTCAGTTTATGCATTGCCTGGAAATCAAATTCATGACCTTGGCGTTGCGAATGCAATACTCTGCTGAATTTTTATATTATGAAAATCTACCATTCAAAAGTTTGAGTCAGTAAGATTTTTTATTTTTTTGAAAAAAGTCTCGCACCAAGGCAGCATTTATTTGATCAAAACTACAGTAAAATATGCAATACAATAAAAAAAATTGTCAATTATTATTACAATTTAAAATAACAGTTTTAAATTCTAAAATATAATTGTGATAGGAAAGCTGAATTTTCAGCAGCCATTACTCAAGAAACATGTATTATTATTATCAATGTTGAAAACAATTGGGCTACATAATATTTGTGTGGAAACAATTATACAAATTTTTTTCAAAAGTTCAAAAGAAAAAAACGTAAAAATGTACAAGTCTTTTCAGTCACTTGATAAATGTAATGTATCTTTGCTGAATAAAATAATTAATTTATTTAAAACAAACTGTACCTCAAACTTTTGAACAGCATATTATTTTTATATTATTTTAGGGCTGATCATTTTTTGGTGCAAAATGTAAAGTGTTATTATTAGATATTAATTATTAAATTGAATTTGCAAATTGCTTGAAGCATTGAACAAAATGCGAAATCTTAATAAATAAATAATTTAAATCTGCTTTAAGTCGCAGCCCTCATAGACACGATTATTGTAATAATGAGGGAGAGCGCGAGAGAAGAAAAGGGTCATAGCAGCACAGGCGTAACCCGACAGACTCAGAGGGAGGTGAGGAAGTGAAAGTGAAGGATCGAGGGAGGTCGAGTTCCTACATGTGGCGGACATGTGAGGGACACAAGCTCCATATGGCCGGAGTTTGTGAGAAAGGGGAAGTTCGAGAGGGGGTGGCTCGTGGACATGTACCTGTGCCAAAATTAAAAGAGCCACAAGCAGAGTTTACACACACACACACACAAACACACACATATTTGCCCGAGGTCCACACTGACTCGAAGGTGATTTACTCCCACAAGGACAACAAGGTGATCTAATGCAGCAGGACACATTAGCAACAATCCAGCACAGAAAAGTCTTTGAACGTGTCACAGATACTGCTGAAGACTTCTTCATTTAAACAGCCTCAAGGCACGTATACTTTTTAAACCCTCAGTGTATGGCCATATCTCGCTCAGCTCTTCATTTATGCCCTATGCCCGCTCTACCCATTTCCCATTAATATCCTGCCTCTGAAGGGAGTGAAGGAGAGCTGGGGGTGGGAAGGTTATTGTGGTAAATGGATTCAGGAGAACATTCCTCGCCTCCCCCTGGCAGTGCGGAAGACCCCAGAGGTGCTAATGATATCCCAGCGGGTCCACCGTCCCACTCTCCCCGTGCACATCCACTCCACTGCCTCTCCTTCCCGTCTCCTCCATTTCTTCCCCTTTCCTCCCTCTCTCTTCTCTTGTTTCCTACCTGGGAATTCAGCTTGACAGGAAATTTGAAGGCGAAGGACATTCAGCGCTTCTTATGGTCAAAAGAGTTTTAATAATGAGTTTGTGACCATGGTTGCACACAATATTGTGGGTGGAAATCACTAAAAATTAATTAAACCTGATGTTATTGGACTTGTTTTAGCAGCCATTTCACTAAAGTAATTATGAAAGTGAGGTAATGGTGCAAATACATCCACAAAATACTGCTGTATATTGTAGACTGTGCAGGATGTGGAACTCTAAACCTTTTCATTATCATAACTATAATAGGGGGAGAGTCTTACCTAACCACCCAAGCAAAGGCATATTGATATCTTACGATTTTGCCATCTTGTACAAAATATTATGCATTGTCTTGAGAGTACACTCTTAAGTGTTCTTTACTGGAATCTATGGTTCCATGAAGAACCTTTAACATCAATGGAACTTTTCAATTGCACTAAAGTTTTTTTTTAGTGCTGTCAGTTGATTAAAAAAGATTAACTAATTAATCTAATTAAAATAAACTATACTAAACTACTAAACTAAATAAAATAAACTAATTAAATTCGGATAAGACAGAGATATTACTTATTGGACCAAAAAACATTACACAGAATCTCGTAGATTACAATTTGCATCTAGACCGATGTACTGTTACTTCCTCTACAGTAAAAAATGTGTGTGTTATATTAGGCAGCAACTTGTCTTTTGAAAATCATATTTCCCATGTCAGGCAGATCACTCACTGTTCATGATGCACGAACAATTGGAAGAAAATCCTCAATATTGATTTGGGGGTTTATATGAATGTGTTCAGATGCCCCGCCCATACTGGCGGGCTTTGTCGCCACAGGCTCGTGCAGCTCCGCTGCCGAGTCATTGGTTTGTTTTTTAAGCTCTGCACGAACCAATGGCCGTGCAGTTGATGGCACATCAATACGTGCCATTGCCAGAAGGTTTGCTGTGTCTCCTAGCACAGTCTCAAGAGCATGGAGGAGATTCCAGGAGACAAGCAGTTACTCTAGGCGAGCTGGACAGGGCCATAGAAGGTCCTTAACCCATCAGTAGGACCGGTATCTGCTCCTTTGTGCAAGTAGGAACAGGATAAGCACTGCCAGAGCCCTACAAAATGACCTCCAGCAGGCCACTGGTGTGAATGTCTCTGACCAAACAATTAGAAACAGTCTTCATGAGGTTGGCATGAGGGCCCGACGTCCTCTAGTGGGCCCTGTGCTCACTGCCCGGCACTGTGGAGCTCGATTGGAATTTGCCATTGAACACCAGAATTGGCAGGTCTGCCACTGGCGCCCTGTGCTTTTCACAGATGAGAGCAGGTTCACCCTGAGCACATGTGACAGACAGGGTCTGGAGAAGCCAAGTAGAACATTATGCCTGTAACATCATTC